AAGCACTGAGCATACAGTGCTTATTAATATACGTTGGGTAAGGGCAAAACCTGTTATATAAAATTTACAAAAACTGTTTATTAGTAATAAAGTGCACCTGATATTTTCCATTGATTTGACTAAAGCAATTTCCTGTTTTTGGATTATAGAGGAAAAAGAAAGGCAAGAGTAAAGGGGTCGGTAAAGTTCGGTCAGGCAACCCGGCCATAGACAGTCACAGCATGCGGTCAACCATCGGAGGAGAGACAGGGTCAGGCATCAACCAGTACAGAGAGGCTAGACTCAAGGAATACCATGATATCTGCAAGCTGTGTGAGAAACATGGTATAGATCTAACTCCACAGCTACTGGAACGAGGTGATTTGCTTTTGAGGCTGTTTTGCCACATGTCTGTTTGAAAAAGTCAGAAGAGCCTCTTTAAATTTTAAATCAAAGATTTTCTCTGTGTACTTCTATCATATCCCTTTCATTTTCAGTACAAAACTTTTATGTTATGCTAAAAACCCATCTTTAGTGTATACCGGTGCTCCTTCAGGCCCTGATGAACCCAGTGTATCCCACGGTTATCTGCTTGTTACTCATGTATTGCACTCAGAATATTGCAGGTTAAATCATGATAACCTAGGGTACCTGTGCATCACACGTCCTCAAATCCCTGTACCCTAACCATGGTTATGTCACAGAACGTTACATTCCTAGCACAGGCATTCCTAGCACGTCCTGATGATGGACAGAGCATACTCTCCGAAATGTTCAGTACCACGGTTCTTTTCAGAACCCCACATAATCAAAAAGAGATATATCCATGGTGCTACCGCAAACCTATCTACTTTACTAGCACAGGATATCCAAGGCTCTCTGTAGCTGCGGTGTGCTCAAAGTCTATGGGAACAGAGGTCAACAATAAGTAATACATGGAGCACTGATGGGATGCAGTCTTATGCAACAGATCCAATGGAAACTTATGACATTTCAATTGTAAAATGATATTTGAATTTGGTGTATTTCATCCCTTAGCTCTACTGCACCCAGGTGACAAGCCCATCAGTCGCATCAGTTCCCGCATCCGACAGCCAGGTACCCACACTCTCTCCCAGCACTTTGCTGACCCGCCAGTCCCCAGTGAGCCACCACCCAAGTACCATGACCCCGACAAAGTCGTGGTGAGCCGCAGCGGGGAGCTGATGATGGAGGCCAAGCACGCATATCCGCAGGCCCATGAGGTGCGGGCCGAGGCCGAGATGGTGAGCCTGTCCAGCGGCAAGGCCTTTGTGAGTCGCAAGGTGGACTGCTGGATGACATTTGAGGAGTATGACCGCCTTACCGGGTAAGCTTCCAGAAAGAATTGGCTCGACAGTGCGTAGAAACAGGCAAGTTATGGGAGGCTATGTAAAGCCGGGTTTCCATGGCTGTAACGAAAGCCGAGGTTGCGTAAGGTGTCAAGATGAAGAGTTATGAAAGAGATGGCACTTGACATTATTCCTAATAAGAATTAAAGAAATAAATTGCACTTAAAAATGCCAAAATTGTTCATGTGAAATGCCCTTTCTAGTTTCTACCTCTTGAAGCAGAACTGGTATATTGTATTCAGTATGATCAGCTATTTTGTTGACAATCGGGTGTCATACATGTATGTTACTCTTAAAGAAGAAACATGATTTTAACAAGAGGGACATGCCCGCCGTGCAAGTGTGTGTTTGTATAGGCCTACTCTGGTGTCATAACAAGCTTGAACAAGATCAAGTTGTCCCCAACTGCGTTAGTCGCGATATTACAAGCATTTCCATGTGACTGTGTATCACTGGGATCTGACTGGGAATGCTCTCTGCCTCACTCTGTGTAGATGTCCAAACTAGGCATAAGGTGTCCCAAAACTTTGAGAGCTGAGACGAATGTTCGGGACGATGTCACTGGTGTAGTCAGGAAGGTGGGTTGGGGACATGATCCATCCTCCCCACAAAGAAGGGAAAAATAAAAGCAAAAAAAACACAGTTTCCTGGTAGAAACTGCCCAGGAAAAAAGGGGCTGAAATGCAGTTACATGTACATATGTGCATGTACATTTTGTACAGTTTTCCTAGTGTGCAATTGTGTTTCCCCCGCCTTAATTGCATTTCCCATGATGATTGGATTTTTTTTCAGTGCTCCCACCGTGCAAGTGTTCTCACTGTGCTACTGTCCAATTAGCCTATTTGAAGTATAGCAAACACAGCAGGAGAGCACTTTTGAAGAGGGTAAATTTAAGCAACCACAAAAGATTAAACCCAAACCAAACAGCGCCCTCCTGTTGTGTCTACCATTATTACATGTACTAGTATTCATGATTCCATGTAATCTATGGGTGAATATGTATCTGATTTGTTTTCAGGCATCTCGCCAAGCGCTACGTAACCGTCGATGGAGCTGGGGTGGATCCAAATGTGTTCTGGCCTGGCCACCTACTGGACAAGCTTCATTTGTGCATGCCTGGCACAGACAGGCCTGACACAGATAGCATCTTCACCTCCACGCGATCGACGACGCAAAGGGCCTACCCAGGCTACAACAATGACCTCAGGTGGTGGCCAGTCAGCGAACATGGTTACATGATGCCGGCCGATTACGAGCAGAACAAAGTGTACAGTATCGACCCGAAGTGAAAAGTTAGCCAAGAGAAACTAGTTTTACCCTTCAAGTACAGATTTATACCATGACGACATCAGTCAGGATTCATCATAAAGTGCCTGGATCCCTAGCCAAGGGTGTCTATATGTTGCTTTTAACCTCAGCCTGAAGAGCGCCCTCCTTCCTTTAATTTTTCATTTTTTAATCATCAGCTGAGATTCTGGCAGTGTAGTTGCTTTTATTTAAACCCTTGCCATTGCCCTTTTTGTGTTTCACTGAACCTTATTAGACATTTTGGTATTTCAACTGGTATTTTGGTGCCTTTTCGGTTTTTATGCAAATGTAAATTTCTGTATGCATTAACTAAATGGTGATGTCACGTCATTCCAAGGACTAAACCTCAATGGAATGTTGGTATTTCGTCGTAAATTACATGGCAGTGAGTCTTTCCTCAGAAATGTTTCCAATTAATAGCAAAATTTTCGGTTTGTGTTTGTGATTTGAATAGAAAGAATAAAAAATGCTGCAGTGTCTTCCTGAATAGCATCACAGCAACAGCGCCCTCTGTTATCTGGAAAGGGAAAGTTTGATGTATACAAATTTGTACTTCTTCAGTATTCTTGACCCAAAAAGTATGTCAAATACTTTTTATATAGACACTGGATACCTAATTGTCACCGTGATATCAGTAGACAGTACCCTTGCTGATGTGTATACATGAGTAAACATTTAAAGGTTGTTCAATTACCACCAGATTTCTAGCTGGGTGGGTAGACCACTGGATAGTGAGTCTATCTTGGGAGCTCTCATGAAATGCTTGAGCTGGGTTCGATTCCAAGCTGCCAGAGTTGTTTGTCCCAAACATAAAAAATATTATTCTTTTGTTATTTCTGAATGGACTCCAACATTTAATGACAGAGTATTACATTATCATTTTCTGATTCTTGATTCTGGGGGATTTTTTTAATGGGAAAAAAGTCCCAATTTGTGAAATCGTGTGATTCCCACCTCATGAATTCAAATTCACGACTATGTAGGCGTATTTGTCACTGTAAGAATTTCTAAGTCTCCAAAAACAGTTACCGCGGATGAATCCAGCTATTAGATATTATTTAGTTACATTGAGCCATTGATGACTAAATATCCACAACCTTAGTGCAATAAGCCATTTGCGAGTTAAATTTGATAAAATCTAGTGCTCTGAGTTATCTGACTGCACATAAACGTAACGATTTGAATTCCCCAGACTAAAGACACTGTTGCTATACCTCGTGATTCGGAGCAAGCTTTCGCATAGTGACCACCATCTCTGGAATGGATTGTTTCCATTGTGCCCCTCTTATCCATTGAGAACAGTGTATTGTTGCAAGGTGTCTCTTATGTAACTAAGCAAAAGCTTGCCCCGAATCACAAGGTATAGCAACAGTGGTTTTAGTAAGGAGAATTCAAGTTATGTTCATGTGAATTTAAAGAACTTGGTGTACCAGATTTGGGTCAAAGTTAACTCGCAAAAGGCTTATTCATATTGTGAAAAGAGGATAAAGATGCATACAGTGCATTTATCGGCCTCAAGCAGAGGCACCCCCTCATCGGTTGAAAAGAGCTGCACTGGTTGGGAGTGGTCAATTTTTTGGTAGTGATGGGACCACGATGCTTGCATTTCATAGTCGGTGGTGAACCAGCGGAGTTCAGTTCATGGAAGTTCACCAAAGGAGCCTCTGTTGCAAAGAAATTCTAAGATATTAGTGCCTTCTCTTGGTCCAGCTCGAGGCCTATTAAGTAGCATTCACTGCTTGGACCCTTATAATTTGACTACTATCAAATTCAACATTGCCTCATGTGGCTTGCTAGACTTATTTCAACATCAGAAGTAAATAGTGATCATGTGAAATGCTTTCAAGGCAAACGGTAGAAATACCTTTGTCATAATGGTGCACAGGACATTTTCAAGGACTTCAAAAGATAATAATAATGACGTGCTACATGATTTGATGATTCAGTATTCCTATGATGATCAAGCTTCTATGGAAACTTAGTTTTTTTAAAATAATGATTCTTTTTTTTTAGAAATAAATATTTGTACAGAAATGAGACTGAACAACAGCTAAACTGAGTTTCAGTGTCAATGTTATTTTCTTGCAAAATAATAATCAGCATGAAAAAGAAGCAATGATTATTCTGACGGGAATTCTGATTGCCAGACGCCATGTGTTCAGGGAATTTAACATTAATTAAAAATCTAGGTATACAGCTAATGACACAATCTTGCAACATGCCCAGTCACATTAAGTGTGACGACAATCTATTGGCTGTCTTGTGCTTGAGTTCTTTGTCAGAACTAAGATGATTTAAGTTTGGACTTTTCAAAAGGAATCAACCATGATTATAAACACATGCTGTTGAATTAAGCACTTGCATATTAAATATACAAGTCAAGCCAGAACATGAAGTGTGACCTGCTCCAGCTCTGCAAAAAGGTGTATTAAAGATGTGCAATGCAAAAATGCTTAACTGCATATTCCATGTGCCGAGAGTGAAAATATTGGGAAATATTTTGAGGCCAATTGCTTGACCAGAAAGCCTCTGTTACTAAGGAAAACCAAGTATTTATTGTAAGTTTAATGTTTCTGTTTAAGTTTAAAGGGCATTATCTTACAAAGCATGTGTGATAAAATGAAATTATATGAATATACAAATGGCAAATAACTCCAAAATGCAAAATGCCAATGGAATGAATTATAAATCAAATGAAAGCTTAGGATGCGAGCAATTTGATTATATATATAACTCAAATGCAGAAAAAGTCACAAAATACACCTTTTCGCAGAGCTGGTCACAAATAAAATGTTCCAAACTCATACTCAGTGCTGAATGGTGCATCATACAAAAACTACCCAGCTTGTGCTGTCTGATTGAGCAAAGTTTGTATTCACACTGCCCATGCAAAGGTCAAGACTTTCAGTAACCACTCTGTATTCATTAAACACTCTGCATATGGCATAAAACATTTTAAAAGGGGACCAGTCAGTTACTGTCAAGACAACAGAAAGTACCCTGTTCTTCATTTGTATCACCGTAGAGGTTTCAGAGACCACTGAGTGATTTTGATGTTACAATGACAGGTAAATTTTGTTCTGTCCATTTTTGACTGCAAAAGGGAAAATCAATTTTCTGAAAACAACTTATTCCCTGTATAACATGTTTTTAGGTGTTGAAATGCATGCAGAAATTGACACTGAATGAGGAGAAACTGCTTCGACTAGCCTCCTCTACTGTATTTTGGACTAGGAATATGTGACTGCACAGCATGTAATGAGCTGGGTACTTTGGACAGTACAAGATTGACCCCAAAAAATTCAAATAGGGGAGACAAAGACTACTGTTAGCCGGTATCCTTGCTTTTGTCTTTCTTCTCCTTGAGCTCATTGGACCGTTCCTCAGCCCTTGCTGCGGCATCACGTGCTTTCTTGCGGCTACGTTTGGATTTCTCCCCTGGTCGGTGCTCGCTGCCCCCTTTGCCCCTGGCAGTTCCCCCCGTGCCGTTCTCGTTCTTGCCTTGACCTCTGTCTTTTTCTTCCAGACGGGATGTGTCACTGGGCTTCCTGTCCTTGGCCATGACTACTGCCTTGGAGTCTAGGTTCTCTTGAATCCTGTCGGATTTCTCGTCCTCCTTCTCGGAGCTCTTGATCTCTTTCATTACTGCTTTCCTCTGTTGAAGCAAAGACAACAGAAAGTTAAAGTGTCAAGTCCGTGAAACACTACAACTCCCACATTGAAACAATAGAAATGGAACACTTATTAACTTCAAGCAACTTCAACTGTCTTGAACAAAAAACTTTCCATGCAAAAGGTACAAATACATATTTGACACAATGCAAGCCGCAATCCATTTTACTGTCATTCCATGGTAGACATTTCTGCAATTATTTGAAGGCTGAAAACGTAAGACACAAGTCTTTCTTGTGACTTTTTTCAGTGATTGGTGGGGAATGCTGACCAAGAATCTTGTGACAGAGAGAGGCAACTGGTTATATTAGGAGCTTGGTTATAAAGAAAACCGAAATCATCAGTCCAGATTGAACTTCTATACAGAAATGCTCGCTTCACATGAAAACTGAGGATACAAAGTTTACCATTTTTTACTTGTGACCCAGTTAAATGGAAAATCATTATTTACAACTCATTTACAGTGAACGCCCCCTTTTGTAAATGTTAGAAAAACAACAGAAATGTAGAGATAGTAGGTGAACAAGCAACAATATTGGCCGATTGGTGATCCTCTGACAGTAGGCATTTTGGAACAAAAAGGAGCAAGTCAACTTTTGTTAAAGATTTACTTCCAACTATGGCTAATTCACAATATAGTGCACAACTAAGAAGTTGCCACAGAGAGGCCATTTTTCATTTTTATGGATGACAAAAGCATGGCTGCTTTGAGGCACTTTGCATTTGAGCGTACGTCAGTCGACAACTAGGCAAAATTTTTGATAGATTGGGATATTCAAGAAACAGAAAGAAGAGGATTAATTAAAACTCTTTCTTGAAATACACTTTAATACAAATCTTCTTCCCCGCAAACAAACATTTGGAATAGTTTAAGTTCCCCAATACATCGTAAAAAATGGCCTCTCTGAAGCAACCTCTTGGTGGTGCACTATATTGTGAATTGCCCATTTTGCGTAACATGCAAAGCAAAATCAAAGCAAAATTTCTCCACACTGACCACATGCTACGACACCATGGTCTATTGCTTGGACAATGGCTGACCCTGTAGTGTACAATAAGTGTGCAGTTGGCTAGCTGGACAACAACTTTGGGAGTACAGTAAAATCTCGATAAGTCGAAGCCTGTTAAGTCGAAACTCTGTTTACCTCGACGTCTTTCTGTATTCCCGACAAAAGAATAGGCCTTTATGTACAATAAACTATCCGTAACTCAAAACGTCAATACCACTAAAGCTGCTTTTCTCGAAGTTTTGGTAGGCAAATTAAAAAAAAACACTGAAGAATGATGAATAAAAAGTGATGAAAGAACGCTTGCCTTCATTATGAGGCATTACTGTCACGCGTACGAATTTTCTTTGATGAGCCGCGCATGTTCACACGGGCTGCCATTGTCACGTCAACAAGCACTGGGTGGGCATCAACCGCAACCGTAAAATACATCAGGCATGAATGATGCGCCCTCGAGCGCTTTGTACATGTATCACATGACCCAGCACGGAAACCCTGACCGACAGGCCCGCGCGCTGCATTATGCGGTAACAGCCCGATCAAGCAAAGCAAATGAATGAGTTCTCAAGACATAGACACAGGTACCGGTACATAACTTCATTGGTTTATTGTTTATTAATGTACCACATACATGTAAACACATGTTTAATGATGACGTTTGAGGAAAACTTGCACAGTAGGGATAGCCTAAAATCCACTTCATGTTCGACTCGGCTTGCAGGCCAACTGCCGTAAGCCAGTAACATTGCGTAAGCACTGAAGCGAGTAACTTTCAATAACTCGAACGTCAGATAACTCAAACTTTTCGTCCATTCCCCTGAGCTTCGACTTATCGAGATTTTACTGTAGTTACCTGTAGGCTTGGGATGTGACTCAGGTCTCTCTTCATTGCATATGCATCCTCCCCGTCAGCATAGTACTTGGGCTCAATCTCACTGATTCTGAATTATAGCAACAATATAATGACAAGAAATGTGTCACATGTACAGTGGTGTGACAAGGGCTAAGTGTTCAGCAGGGGCATCCGGGGGTGCACACAAGTTTTTCAAGGGAGGCACTGCCAGAAAATAAGCTGCAGCTACATTTCAACTGAGATTATTTGCAGATTTCAAAAGAGGGGTGTGGGCATGGGCATCCACTGCACATGTACCTCTAGCAAACTGGCTTTAAAAAAAGAAAAGCATGAAATAACGGGTGCTCCAGACCTGCGGGTTGTCTTTTAGCTGTCCTTTGAGTTCCATGAATTTAGTCCACTTAGACTTGAGTTGCCAGAAACACAAAAATGGCACTTCCAACTGATTACCAATTAACAGCAAGCAATGAAATCTTTACACCTGGAATGCTGTCTCTCCAGAATGAATTTTCCAATGACGGTATTTTTCATACAGTTTGGTTTCAACTATCACAACCATGAATACTGCTTCAATTATTCATGTTCACACGGAACTGTCTTTAAGTCTACGTATATGCAGCAGCACAGGATCTGACAGAAATGGGCCATGAATCTTTGACCTTAAATATATACATGTGGGAACAATTATCTATCAACTGAAGTAGCCAGCCCATGTGTATGTTGGCAGCTCCCAGTTTCCCATGGCATTTGTTCGTCAGAAGCCACTGAATCATACATCTACATGTATGTCCCATGTGGTCAGGGATCGCAGTGAAAGTCACAATGCTTGAAACATTTTGCAATGCTGCTAGACGGGGAGGCAGCCTTATTTTCATCATTAAAAATCATTTATCACATCAGGATTCTTGGTGTTCCCCAAACCCCACAGAGTCTCAATAGAGCACCTACTTATTAAGCATGTTTACTGCTTCATGACTTTACTGCATCATTTGAATCACGTTCCAGCATTTTGTGTCCTCGCCAAAGCTTTCTATATCCAACTAACAATGGCTCGCAGTGAAATATCTTATTGTACTCACGAGAATTTCAGAGTATGCTGGTACAGCTGCAGGGCAGCCCGATTGCTGAAAATAAGGAAAAAAGAACAATTACAATTTATTCAGTGAATTTCATGCAGCCACTGGCTGGCGGCTTCCATAAGTGCATGTGTTATTTCATGCCATAGCCAAGTAATTCGGAAAGAGTCTATTTGTCTGTACCTGGCTTCCAGAATACAATGTCGGAAACACAGTGGCTGTGCCAACCTTGCCATATTTGTGTGGACTTGAGAACAAAACAGGTCCACATAATGTACAGTAGGTTGTGCGAACCTTGTGTGGACACAGCCAGGTCATTGCAAGGTTCCCCCCCTCAGAAAGACAAAGATGCGTTTAAAGGCATTTTAGGATCGGGGTAAGCTGTTCAAGAAAAATGAGTAAATTTCGGAAGTTCTCTTAAGTGCAAGAGAAGAAAGGGATGTCCACACCACATATGCATCATAAATGTGTGTGAGTGTGTGTGACTCTTAATGCTTGCCAGCGCAGGAAATTGTTGAGTGCGCATTGCTCTCAGAGCACATCATGTGAAGGGGCTCTTTCTGCCCAACTGAAATAAACACATAATATTATACTCCCAGTCTGGTAGAAAGTATTTTTTTATATTCCTGCAGGCCATACTCCTAGCATTCCTGTGTTTAACATGAAGAGCACACTCAAATCTTGGATCTACCTATTTTTTCCATTATTCTTACCTCATCCGGACGTGGAGAGACACGTATTTGGCATTGAAGCATTCCACCATGGCCCGTGAGGCTTGATCCATAAGTTTCTGGGCTAGACCAAGGCGTCGATGTGACCGCTTAACAGCCTGCAAAATACAATAGAAAGGTGCTGTTACAAGGCGCTTTGTATTCTCTCAAATCACATATACAGTAGTCCACAATCATGAAGTATGACATAGCGCAGTGGTCCATGTCACTCATTCTATGGTATGGTGTAGTATGGGACCCTCCAACGTTGTCAACATTTTCACAGTGGTACACAGTGGTACTATTTTTCAAGACCCCCTCCCCCCAAACTAGTACTTATCGACATTTTTCCCCGGTACAAAATAAAATTATGTTGTTAAACGTTGATGCCGTGTGTGGGAATGATGTGTCACAATGTCAAAGGATATATAGTGGGCCGTTTTGCAATACTCTGCTTCGTCCCCATTTGAGGCTTCGTCTCTGAAATCAAGCCCCAATTGTGGGCTTGAAGTGTTAAAATAACATCAAAGTAATGTAATGTTTGACTCTTTTGAACTCTATTTGCTATTGTGTGGCACTATCATACTTATTAATGCTCTTACAATTCCAAGTCATGTAGGAAAAATAGATGAAGCCTCATTCGGTTCCGGAGTCGAGTATTTGAAAACGGCCTGTGCTGCTGGCGTGTCACGCTGTATGTACTGAGCTGAGAGACGTGATCGCGCTGATCAGCTGGGCTCGTGTATGTACACTGCATGTATGTACATTGTGCGTTGAACTCCATGGTTGAACCACTGGGCCGCGGCGGGCCAGGTAGTCTTGGCCAAGACGTTGTTGTGTTGTTGATACATGAGAGGGCGCCCATAAGACGAAATGGAATGCATGAACCACAACTAGCCATGCCAGAAGTTGTAGTTCGTGCTTTCCAGCTCTTTGTCTTGTAGGCGCCCTCTCATGAATCAACAAGACAACAACGTCTTGACCAAAACTATGGGCCGGGCTGCGCTACAAGGGCAAGGGAAGCCGTGGGCACAACGTATGCGAACCTTCCGGATTTACTCTCCATCGGAGCCAGCTTTCAGCATGCAACCAGTGATTACATAAATGCTTGCTTTTTCTTGAATTTTCATATTTTACATTTGAATGAGAACACTTCTGAAAAATCAACATTTTACAGGATCCCAAAACAGCCCACGACCCCCTCCCCTTTGTATGCTTTGTACAAACGTGAAAATGTATTTCCACTGATAACGGTAGGTTTATATATTCTGAGTTTAAAAGCAATTCTTGAGGAAGTGGTTCTTAGCTGCCTTGGAATGATTCTGGTTGTTTGATGAAAGACCGTTTTAAGGCTGGAAGTGACGAGACAATTTTAGACTTTTTAAATTGTCAGGTTGATTTGAAAACAAATTTCAATTCTTAGTTTATTCATGTCGTAATTGCAACTAATTCTTGAGACTCTTATGGCATTGTTACAACTATTGTTGAGTTATTCTTGGTCCAGAATCATGCCAAATCATTATGAATGCATCAAGAACTGTATGAATATTGTGAGAATAACTTGCAAATTTTCAGATTTTCAAAGCGGCATAATGCTGTGCCATTCTGGAGGATTCTGGAGTTATTTGTGTGATATTACTGACAAAATTGCAACTATTCAGTTTAATTCTGCACTAAATCACAATCAGTCAACTGGATTTGGTCTGATTCAGCTTCTAGATCATACCTGGTTCTTCATTATTCTTGATGATACCTACTGACAGCAAATCAGGGCTAATTCCCCCTGATGCCATCAAGCATTTGAAATTCAGGAAAGATTAGGGTATTTGTGGCAATTGATTCAGAAATGTGTGAACCCAACTTTAATGACTGGGATGCCTTGAACAATGCTTACCAATGATGTAATGTGACCATGAGGCAACTCGTCTGGGTCTTCTTCCCTGCAAGAAAAATTGAGCCACACAGGAAAAAATGAGTTACATCACAAGTACATGTAACTCTTCTGTATAAGACACATTTGATTTAAGGTCTGGACATTAAAAGCTCTTGTGTAAACTAATGATGTGCATCAGTTGAACACGCCAAACTAGCCTGAAATATTACAGATTAAACTGAAAAATTTGACTCTACTTGACCCGACACAAAAGTAAGGTTAAAACTGGACCAAACTCACCCTCAAAACTCCCATGAATATGATGGCTTGGACAAATCATCCTATAATATGTCTGCTCTTTGTGCCTGAATTATTTTTGTTGCCTAATTCTTTTGGAAAATTATCTCGAGAACCATCAACCACTGCAATATCTCTAAGAGTTTTGCAAAACTGAAAACCAACTCGACCTGACTGAAATGGTGGAAAAGCAGACCCAACCCTAAGAATCTGGTTGCTACTACATGTGCGTTCTGCAGGTTTAAAGGCAGGAATAAGCCAATAGTATCTGACACATTGGTGAATTTTGGAAATGTTGGGAAGCTCCTTTTAAAACTTCATTGGGAATTACAGTAGAGAGATGTAAACTGACTTGCAACACTCATATTGACATTGGCTGCAGATGTATCCATCGCATATACATGACCTCAATACTGCCCGCTTACATCTTAGCGAGGACGTAGCCCACAATCTTGCCATTCTCATCTTCAGCCACATAGGACAACTGTGGCCAAGAGAGGCCATGGTAGAAGTAATATTTCATCTGGTAGTTCTCAGGGAGACACAGCAAGTTACAGTGCTGCATGTTAAGCAGATCCTCCGGCTGCAAACAAAAACAACTTGTGCAGAAAAATTTTTGTTTTTCATTGTAAAATTTTTCCCTGGGTGGGGGAAGTTGGCATGATGGTTGATGGGTTTGGGGGTTGGGGGAAAAAACAACCTTTTTGCGATCTATGTAAATTTTGATTAAGCTGCATATACGTGACCTGTCACCACAAAATGAGCGGAAAGTCCGAATTTTCAAAAATTGAGATGTTGGTATTTCTGAGTTCAACAGAAAAAGAGCTCTGCAATGGCATGTACATGGAACACTTAGGGTAGAAGTATAAGGTGACAATGTGACATTATTCTGGCAGCTTTGCGTCTTTGTTCCTGACATTCTTTCAACATTTCAGACCAGGCATGCATAATGCTATTGTCAAAACTGCTGTGACAATGACATGTTTAACTATATGATCCTGCAAAATATTTGGAATTAAACAGGAGACGGGTTAGTCTTTCCAAATATTACAAAATCCCCAAATTAACCTTCACTTCAATATGACTTTGAACCTTCAAAATAGGAAAGACCGGAATGCGGCTTTACCCTCATTTTGTCGTGACGGGTCACATATGGCAATGTACATCATGCACATGGCTATCATTCTCATGGTTGGAAAAGCATCACATCTGCCTGAGTAACGCACAGCTGTGTGGCAAGAGGGCAACAGGTCACCCTTTGTGCCGCGCTGTTGTATGCTACATATGCTATGTGGCCCAAACTGGACACCAGCCTTCATTACATTACAGGGAAAATTTTTAAAATGAGCTTCTAGTGTGAAGACTTACAACTTAGGCTGGTTCCATGCCATACAAAAGATTGTTCAAAATAACAGTTGGGTTGTAATCAACAAGTGAAAATTGGAGATGTCGTCAAACCTGGTTTACATGCTATTAAGAAGTACAAGTTCCTGGAAATCTGATTGCAAAAACTGGCACTGGTCAAGAGCTAGAAACCACAAATATTTTAATTATTTGAATAATTCACGTTTTAACTGAAGTGACACTTGGCATGCCTACAACGTCTGGTACACACTACGTGTACGTTTCTTCAAGGGACATGCAAAGATTTACTCCAACATGTTTAATGTAAAAATCCTAAACCTGGCCTGAAATTGGTCCAATATTCAACCATTTCCTGTGCAAAATCTGCTGAAAGACAGGGTTTTTACAAAATGTGCTACTCGCATAAGTCCATACTGTTGCTTTTCTGACATGACACAGCATAACTTCGGGAAAACTTATTAAAGGTACATGTAGTTTTTACAAACTGTGCTTAAATCAAGAAATGCATGTAACTTTATCCAGCTTAATTACAGTCCCAAATTCTCCGATTTCAATATGATTTTACACACACCCTAAAAAACAGAGTAGGCCCTAATTGCAAATTAATTCACCTTTTCCAACAATGAAAATATGAAAAGGCTTCAAGTTCAATTGGTATAGGGCATTGAGTAGTTATTCATTAAGAGGGAAAATCTTTTTGCTTTCCTTTAATGCTCAATACTTGAGAAAGTAAAACACGTTTTTTTTGTTGTGAAAGTCACAAAGCCCATCCCTGGCCCTTCACTGCCAAAAACACGTGCATGCATTGAGCCTAAATGGATGGGCCAGGTGAACATGTTGTAGGGGCCTTCTAGCCTAGGTTGGATTTTGTCTTCATTTACACTACGACTGAACGATTTGATTTGATTCAATTCAAGAAAACGCTTATTCCATACTCTTTTGAAAACATTACATTAATTTAATAAAGAGAAGTTGGTACATAGATATTGACAAAATAAATAAGCTTAAGAAAACGATGTAACATCTTCAAGGCTAGGGGCCTACATAATCGTATGTAAATGATAGGCCTAGCCCTACATGGAGCATGATTGATGATAGAGCAACATATATGAGCAGATGAGCAAGCAACAGATAGGCCCATGGGCCTGTTTGTATATTAATATTATTGGTTCCCTGGCATCTGAATCCACCCACTGGCACGACTAGAGCAAACGAGCTCTGGGATCAGTGATCGAGATCAAGATCTGTGTACAGCAACGGGCTCAACTAGCTCCACGAGTATGGAACGGAGTCTCACTCCCAGTCCATCCTACATGTAATCATGGAGGTAGAATCACATGATGTAATGGAGCGGGCCCCGCGGCGTGGAGCCGATTCAAGTGTCCGGAAACTGGGCTGGCACGGCTAGCAAAAGTATTAAGTTAGTATAGTACTCATAGTAGGTAGGCATAGGTGGTTTACTCAAGATTTCGAGACATTTACCAGCAAATGTAAATCGAATTCAATTAGAAAGATAATCTATCGTATTAAATTGTTACCCTTGCACATCGGACATTCATTTTGAAGATTTGGGTCTTCGGCAGTAAAGCAAATTCCGATTCACAGGCGGCACATTCGTTACGTTTACTATTAAGTAAATGCCAGAATGTTATCAGCACTAAACTGCATGGAAAGAAATGATATTTGTCGACGGAATTATTACGGTGGCTTATTTCCGCCAAGAACAATTTTTTGGTGCGACGTTGTTGCATGTACCACGTTACGACGCCGCAATTTAGGTTTTTCACGTGACGTCACATGACCGGCAAAGGCATTCAGGAAACGTTTTGTCATATCCGCGGAGGCGCGTTCAGTTTCGAATCTGTGGCAAATGCCCGGAATTTCATGTAGGCGCCAGAATGTTGAGTTCGAAGGCGCGCGCGTTTCCGAGCACATCTATGAACGCTGATCGTCATAAATCACGTGATTCAAGCGATTGAAAATCCTCGGACGGAGAGCCAAAGAAAAAAAAAGTCTTTTTTCATTTTGCACAAAACGATTTCCAAAAGCAGCCAAACTTACTTACTCGGCAGGAATACGGGCGATTCACAATAATGCGCCACCAAGAGTTTGCAACGCATTGGCCAATCATAACGCGCGAAATTTGTCGACCCTTTCCAAAAGCCCATTGGGTCGACAAATTTCGTGCATGGTGATTTGCCTACCCGTTGCAAACTCTTGGTGGCGCACTGTTGTGAAACGGCCGTATTATGCTACAGTGTAATTTTAATGTGTTTTTGACGGGTGGGGTTGAATAATGATGTAGGCCTACGGTGAAGGAATCCCCCAGGCCTCCTTAATTTCCAGTCGGGCACTCTTTATCTTATCATTCATGTATCTTTATACACGAAGGCCGTGTCCGAATCAGTTGGCTGCGGCTTGATATAATGCATGATTCTATGGGACCTGGCCGTGGATGCTTGCAAATACTCGGTGTAATTGCCGGCCATAGCCAATCGATTCGGACCTGGGTCCACGTCTGTGAACCTGATAAACGAAGTGGTCTTACGTCCTGCTTAGATATACAAATTGAAAACACTTTTAAGCAACAAACCGTGAGGGGTCAGTCTATTTCAGTGTCGGTGCATGCAGTGGCGATGGACATCGCATTATGACAAATACATGTAACAACTCATGCATCGTCACGTACTTGCCAAGAACAAAGGTGGATTCGAGTGATATTTCATTTCCTGAGCTGAAATTTTCCCCAATATTTTATGTGCAGCTTGTTTGTTATAGGTTAAAACAGAAAACAATGTACAGTATATCATTTACCTCATGAGAATTTTATTTTCATTTTGACTCTGGAGCTGAACTGTTTTCATTAATTTTTTCATAGGCTATTTGATATGCAACTTATTTCCTCTAAGCTAAAGCAGAAAACAATGTGCGCAGTATCTACCTCATGATAATTTCATTTAAAACCAGAAACTGGAGCTGAACATTTATTTTTCACATTGTATTTTTCCATGGTTGTCACTGTATTTGAACAAGTTCAATCTTGCCAAGAATAGAAGCCTCTTTTAGAAGCCTGAGACTTTTTTGGTATTAATTCATAGTTGTTAATTCACACTTCTCATAGTAACAAGGCCATGCGCTATAAAGTATATGTGCATGTACAAGTACATGTACATCACTTCTAAGGGGGAAAAAAGAGAGAGAAAAAAATGGTGTCGCTTTACAGCAAAATGTCGTGGCCCTGAAGGGAAATCGTCAATATTGCCGTCAATATTCATGACCAAATTCACGACTCGCTCTCTGGTCGCTAATATTGCCGTTAATATTTGCGACCAAATTCACGACTTGCTCTTCAGTCGCAAATATTGACGCCAATAATTTGCGACCAAAGAGCGGGTCGCAAATTGCGAATACTGACGTCGATATTTACGATGTCCCTCCAGGGCCACCACAGCAGACACTTAATTACAGTCACACAGCGCAAAACATGGCCCAATTAACCATTCATTCAGGATTGTCTTTTTTTTCCTGCAACACCCTGAAGATTACATACGGCTTCCAAAGCGATATATGGTAATAAGAATTCGGTCACCTCTAATCGTCAACACAAATTTCTGATGGCAGAATAAAATTGACTGCTGTTTTTTCGTCACCTCTAAAGCTATAGCTAGCTAGGGGAAATGGTTGCTTCCAATTGTTGAACGATTCAAGTAAGCATTAACACTAACGATTTTATGGCTTGCAAACTGTTTGCTACGGGCAATTTTTCTCCGCTTTATTCTTGGGTAATCCCTTACCGGACATTTAGCAGGTTTTTAAATATAAATTTATGATAAGTTTGCAGGTGAATTATCGACACAATACTGCAAAGTCATCGGCAGATGTTGATGTACCAACAATGTCAAAGTAACAGTGGGATTAAGGATCTTTGAACATTTGCTCCCTGGACGTATGAAGTTCATTATAATTTGCTTGTATATCCCGTTGCCAAGAAATGCGTCACCAGTGAAGATATGAAGGTAACTATGGAATGAATTGAATTGCTCATGATGTCCTTGAACATTGGTTGAAATGTACGTTGTGCACGCGTGGCCCAAAGCCAAAACCTGAGCCATAATACTTCGAGGAATCAATTCCAAGCACACTTTTTCGAGGACGGCCTACGGCCAGGAATCATTGCTCACGCGTCGTAGGGATCAGTATTACGCCTACATGCCCCTACCCTGGATGACAAGCACCTTAATATAAAGGGTCTTAACAACCCTTATTGGTTCATATCTTGCCTGACCTGCTGTAAGCATCATACCAGAAGACGTCATTCGAGTTAGAATTCTGGGGAACTACATGTACTTTCTTCTACCTTCAACAATGGCTTTCGCTCGTGGCTCTCAAGCTACACTGGCGTTGACGGCTACGCTTAATTTTATTGCATCTTTACGTACGTATAAACGATTTCGTTAATAAGTGATTCAAGAACTGGCTTTTCATGTAAATTGGCTTTTTCGTGAGTAAAAATTATTTAACAGCTCCAAAGCCGAGTGCTTATGACATGAACTAAAACTTTAATTTCTAATGAATGATGTAACTTCATTCTCTGGATCATCGTTTAATAAACATAACAAGTGATTGTGTTAAAAAAACCTCCTGTTCTTTATCGAAATGTTGGTATAAGATCAGTGTTTTCTGAAGGTGCTCTCCCGAAATAGTTGACTCTATTTAATTTATGACCAACTAATGAAAAAATTTAGGTGCTCAGCTGTATATTAAGCCTTCTCCCGTATTAGTTCCATTTTTAAAAGCAACCGTTTGCATCTGCCATGCAAAACGTAATGAAAAGAACGCATGCATGTTGTCGTGTTGTCTGAGTAATTTTGAGGCTAATCAGTCCAACAGGTCATTGTTACATGTCACTTTGTACATACCATGTCACTTTGTACTTTCCTGTCTATGCGTAGTAGGCCGCGTTTAATGGCCTAAGGCCTATAAAAATTTCAGGAGCTTTCGAAAAATCTGAGGAGCCACGATAAATACCACAGTTTGCCACAAAACACATACCCATCTATATTCCGAAGTATTAAATTATTTTTGAACGTTTTGGGGTCTTTCTAAGAACTTTCGATTTCAAGAAAATTTCAAAGTAGCTAATAAATACCCCAGTTGCTAATATTTAGCAGCAACGAGGGATGCAGAGTTCTAGAGTTAACCAGCTCCATAAAATTTGTAATGGTATCCAGACCAAGGGTCCCTGAACACTGGTGCTGTGCTGCTGCAAAACGCGTGAACCCGCCCTGGTGCAAGGCGTCGCCAGGAAGGATGAACAATCTTGGGGGGGGGCCTCACAGTAACACAGTGATGAAAGACCAATGACAAAGAGGTGTTTCAAGGAAACCAGCAATTTTTCCCCTGTCTCCTTTTCCTTTTTTGTTCTGTGCCCTCTTCTCAGTGCACACTTAATGTTTTGACATCCTGACTTCACTATAAGTATACTTATCCCTATTAGGGAAAATACAATTTTGCCTATATCTTGGACAAACCTTGGGAAGACAATGAAATGTATTTGTATATCTGATATCTGGGTTAATAAATTAGTGTAAAGAACTTCCCTTGCCCCTAAGGGTGTGTTTAAATAGAACATCCCGAAAAAGAAGCTCCTTACCTTTTATTACAATTTCGACGCTTGATTAAACCGCGATTATTGTTTATTTGTTATATTGCCATATTGTTTATTTACTAGATTAGAATGTGCTCAGCCAATTTGCATGAGATTCTGGGGCATGTTTCTTTCTTGTGTTTTCAAAGATGTATATGTATATAACGATGACGGATGGGTAAACAGTAGTGTCATGCTGATTAACATTAATTTTAGAATGCTGCTGGGCCCATCCTGTCAGGGAAGCCGTGACGTCACAAGACTACTCGAGGACATCACACATATCCGGTAAAAGACGCACCCTTAAACCGTTAGCAATAAGTTAACTTCAATGAGTGTGTCTTCCGTTTCCAAACTTGTTAGCGAGGATTGGTTGAGGGAAGGATACTGTTGCCACAGCGACGTCCTATATACAACTCAGACTTTCCACTATTCTCCCAATGCTAAAAGATCCATGGGGGGGGGGCTACTTGTTAACACCAGCAAAACCTCTCATCCAGGAGTTTCCCAAGGAAGATTTTTCAGCAAACTACAACACAAGAAATCACCTGACATAGGAAGTGCTTAAAAGAAAAAGGCAAATTGTGCGTATGCACTTGTTGGGTAATCTTTATTTGGGTTCATTGTTTTATGACTGGCTGATCTATAAGGTTGAACTAGCCGCTTTATGCCGAAATGGCAGCGTCGAGCTGCATACTCCTCAGGGAGCTGAGATAGTATTTGGAATGTTTTATTGGCCAAGTGAATAGGGGTAATAATCTTAGTTAAAAGCGTTATATAAGAACCCCGTTATTATAATAGCCTGGCTTATACTTTTTTATGTCGCAAAATAAAATTTTCTTCCCGCTTAGGTTCAAGTACAAAATTAGACTTTAAAAACATTTGGTAAATACAAGTGGATTTAGGGATACTTTTGTAATTCAATATTAGGCCAAGCTACGGTCAAACATGTTCACCATCCCGATTTAACCACCCTGCAATCCATTAATTATGCGTCTGTTTAGTTGTATGTGTGTAGGCCTACATTTTGTATAAAAGGTTTTGTAGCCACCAACGTTTCTTCTTTGTTGGAAACAAAATCAAGGTCAAATGTAATCACATTCAAGTGAGACCAATTCTTTTTCATTGTTCTCATGTATCTTTTCAGGCATTTCGTGCTTCAGTGGACCTTTAGGGATGGCCAGTGGGGCTATTCCCGATAGCAGTCTGACGGCGTCAGGCTCATATAGCTCAAGATTTCTCCCGAGCAATGCCAGACTGAATGGTAGGCTCATCGACTGGTTTCCAAATGATTGTCCATATAGATTAAACTTTTCCGGACCCTTAAAACTGAACTGCATTGATACAGATTGCTTTTTTATGGTTAACTGAATATATTCCTAAGAATAGAAAAAAACGATATATTATGCTTATCATTATGCGAGTGCAAGTGGTACCTGATAAGAGTCACGCTATAACCATTCGTCTGAAGATGGTTCAGGTCACGGAATGTAGTGACTTCTTCATACACGTGCACGTAACGCATTATAACCTTTTGTTATACACCCTAAAGGTTCTACTTGGTGGGCATGTCCCAAAGGAAAGGTCGACAGTCAGTGGATTCAGGTTGATCTTGGCCACTATACGGCTGTCACGGGGGTCATCCTACATGGACACGGTTCCCATCATATCCACACCTTTGCTATAAACTTTAGCAGCACAGTTAACGCTGGTGATTGGCATGAACTTACTGATAAAGGACGGACATTACAGGTAAATCGGTTAATTTTTCAAGTCGCAGCATTGTTTCTGTCTTCGTCTTCAGGCTTCGCTTTCATCATGTATTAACCTGCCCAGAATGGGACCTCCAGGCTCATCTTTAAAGTACTTGTACTTTTTTTTTTTTAATTTGGCTTCAACGAAAAATGGCTCTTTATTAAACTGACATGAAGTCGAAGCTGGAGACATAATCCAAATGGGCCGGGTCATAGACCTCTTGTAGATTTTCCTCCTCTATAGCTAGCTCTCCGTGCTAACTTGAAGTGAGCTCACGCACTGGGTGCCGTCTGAAATACTTCGGGTCTAAATTTCTGCTTTGTCTCTTTTTCCAGCTTTGCAAGGTTTTTACTTCCCATATGTTGGAGTTTTAGCTCACTGGTCGATTGTATGCTATCTACCCCAAAGATGAATATTTTCACTTCAGTTCGAATGTTATTGTATTAACACGCGGATATTATAGCGCGGTTTGGACCTCACAAAAAGTTGAGATTTGGATGCCTGACCCTGCCAAAATACGGATTTTCACATTGCGGGGAGATTGCGCATAATGATCATAATCAAACAAGCGAACGAACAAACGAACGAACGAAGGAAGGGACGAAGGAAGGAAGGAACGAACGAACTTTCTTTTGGTGGGTATTATGTAAAAGGGGGTACGGTATTTAGTCACTTGTTCCCCCTTTTACAGGACTTCCTGTAAAAGGGGGGATTGGTAATATCGTAGTCTGATTCTGTAAAAGGGGGATTCGCAGGCTCTTTCAATAATTTTAAATTTATATTGATAAAGTCCAGTCGATCCAAGCCACTTTTCAAGATGGCCGCCCGCACTAGACGAACGGTGAAAAGATACCTAAAATGTTAATCACTCTCATCTTAAAGATAATTCGAATTCATCCGATTTTTCCTCCCCCCAAAAAACGTCAGCGTAACTTCAAATCATATACTTTGCTCGAAAAAAAACATGGTTTCAAGCAGAGAAGGGTCCATGCTTGGTTGTTCCATTGAAGTAGCCAAAAAATGTGATTTTCCTATTCATTGAGAGAGATTTTTCATACATTTATCATGAAGTGGCAAACAAAAAACGGACTTTGACTAAAAGCTTGTTTATTTCTTAACAATTAGATTGGAATGTGATTGCTCCCGAATTTTGCAACATATGACATTTATGGAAACCTTAGCCTAAATCTCTTCAAACCGAGACATTCGCTGCAGAAACCTATGGGAATGTCCAATGTTCCATATCAAACTCGGTTTACTGTCATCAGTAATAAAGGCGTTTAAAAAACTGTATTTTGTTTCAGTTGAATGCGATTAATGGTGCTGGACAACCTGTGATGAATGTCAAGTTCCCCGTGGTGTTATTGGCAAGATTCCTTCGCATAATTCCACTCACATGGACTCAATACGATCATTATTATCTCAAGTTTGAAGTGCTCGGTTGTCGAGGTAATATCGAATATACAATCACTTAATATTACAAATTTCTTTACTGAAGATATACGACAGAGATCTTGGTCAATTATTTGATTGAGCACTTGAAGTTATTTAAGAGGACGGTTTCAAATAGTTAGCGTCATTACAGTGGTAATGTAATAATGATCCATGGCAGATCCAGGAGGGGGCGGAGAAAAAAGGAGGGAAAGAGGGAGACACAGCGCCATAAATGTGACAAGGGCGTTAAAGATAAGAGTTCTACTTCCGGTTACCTAACCTCCCTAATTTTACGGCTGCGACCCTAAAATCTTTAGTTCACGATCTCCCCCTTTGGAAAATCCTGGATCCGCTCCTGGGATGAAACGCTGGCATTTGCTGCTTATTTGATCATACCTTGTGGTTGACCGAAATGGGGCTTCTTTTATGTCAGTTCTCTGATACCACAAAGAGAGCGTCAGGAAATTGGGATTGGAGTTTATGTTGCTGGAGCACATTGTAAGCAACGCAGAAATTGTTGTTTATATTGGTCCTTTTATTATCAACAACGAGGGGGCACAAGGCGTCTAAATAAACGCTTTAGGGGTGGCAAACGACGAAGAACTTTCTTTTGTTATCTATTTTTACCCACTATAGACGGTGATTAATTGCAAGGAAAAAACTTCAGCATGAAGTCAGGAGTCTGAAGCAAAAAGTGATTAAAAATATTTGTTCTACTTTTAGTATATAAAAGGAAAAGAAAACTTTAAAAAGTAGGAAAAGGGCATTTTTGTCGCCGGTTCCGGTTTTATACGGGCAATAGAAAAGAAGCAGTAAGGCCAAGACTAAACACCGTACACAGCCGTGCCAAGCTTAATTCGAGTGTGGCAATAGTGCAGTAACAACGCGGCAGTTGCGCTAAACGCCGACCTTTAATAGAGCAGCGTCGTGCCACTCACTTCGATGACGATAGCGCGGCTCAAAGGGTATTAACCCTTTGAGCTAAAGGGCTTGCCGTGCCGAATTCAATTTGCCGAGCCCAATTGCGCTAAACGCCGTGATATTGCCGTGCCGAAAAAATTGAATCATTTGATTTCCGCACGGCAGTAGCACGACGTACAGCCTAGACCTAAGACAAGTGTGCCAGGTCCGATTTAAACAAAGTCATCTCCAAAGATTGCATTCCCAACAGTATCCAACGGAACGATTCGATTGGTGGGTAGTGACGACAAGTGGAGCGGCCAAGTGGAAATCTACCGGCATGGTGCCTGGGGTGCAGTTTGTGATACCAGTTGGGACATGAAGGACGCCACCACCGTTTGCAATCAGCTCGGCTTCATCGGGGTTCTTGAGGCTAAAACGGGGCTGTCCAGCCGAGAGAGTGATCGGCCGATTGTGATGAATCGAGTCACCTGTAATGGAACGGAAAGACAGCCGTCTTTCCGTTCCGTTCCGTTTGGCTGACTGTCCATTTGTCTGTACCGGCTCTCAGCAATGCGGTAGCTCCACTGTAGCAGGCGTCGTGTGCAAACCAAGACCTGGTAAGAAGTACTTCAAGTCAGTGTCCATATCATTCTTATCTGACTTCATTCCCTTTACACAATTTCGAATGGAGCCAATCATCCTTAGTTCTTGCTCCTCTTCAGTCCATTTATATCGGTTAAAATTATGTGTGGGTTTTCCCTACAGGGGCTGTCTTTTAAGTTTGAATTTCCCGCATGACCATAGGGCTGGGATACCCACCGTAGGCCCTAACGGAGAATAAGATATTTTTGCCCTAGACATAAGGCTAGAGGTAAGTGTAAAACCATCAAGGGCGTGACCACACCTAACGTTGCCTCAAATATTTCACTCTATAACTGAAAGTTGTGTATTTTAACACTAATGACTAGATGAAGTTCGACTCGTCGGTGGTTCTAGTCACACAAGTGGTCGAGTTGAGGTCTATCGTGACGACAGCTGGGGTACTATCTGCGACACCAATTGGAATATCACAGACGCAGGGGTGTTATGCCGCCAACTCGGGTTCTCTGAGGCAGAAGAAGCCAAGTCTGGTGCCCACTTCGGACAAGGAAGTGGCCCTGTTCACATGGACGGTGTAGCGTGTGAGGGTTCAGAGAGCAAGGTGACTGACTGCCCATCATTCTGCTGGGAGGAGACAAGATGTAGCCACACCCACGATGCTGTAGTGATTTGTCGTGACGGTAAGCGCATGAGAGACTATCATCCCATCATAGATAATAACCTTTCCACTCATTAGGACTTAAGAATGGAATTATTTTCAGAATATCTGAGAACGCAACCTCTCACCTGACTATCGACAATTTTATTGCGCTATGTTAGTTAAATAGATTTTTTCTGACCCAATTTCATTCTTGAATTGTAATCGCTCAACCATCAGATTAAGAACGCGTTTAAGAGATTTGTAATTAAAATTTTACGATTTACCCTTTATTTGCTATATGTTTAACTATAATATTATGCTTTTTAAAGATATTTCACTTCGAACAAAAGCTGCTCTTTTGGATCCAAATATATTTACTCTTCAACGTGTAGTAGTTATACAGATGTTGTTCTTTTGCATTTAACTACAGGAAATATCGCGGCGTCCAGCAACTGACAGAAATCGTCTGGGTCAACTTACTCTTTACGATAAAAACAAGCACACCAGTCACCAACTGTGTTTGAAGGGACAACGCGCTTAATTGGGCTCTTTAGGTAACAAAAGAGCTAGTGTGCATAGGCAGATGCTTGTGCTCTGCGCTATGAACACGTTCTGTCACTTAAAACATTTGAAATGTTAAATTGATTGTTATATTTGATGGGGTAAGAAGACGATATTATGTGATGGAAGGGATAAATGATCAAATGCGAACTGATGTAAAGAGAAGGATAATTTATTTTTTTTCCCTATGGAAACGTTTTCGCACACGAGAAACTCCCTACCATTGGCAGGAAACAAAAAAACAATAACAAAAGTGAAAAGTAAACGAGAGGAGGCGGAAGAAAGTGGCATAACTGTCAGTAATCCCTTTGAGTTTTTTGAAAATGAAGCATCTTTTTACATGATTCAACTATAAAGAAATAAAAGGCCATTAATTTTGGTATTACTCTTTACTGTAAAATGGTAAATATTTCGTTGAGGTAAAAAGGTTGTTATACTAACTGTGTATCCTGTGCCTGTAAGTCCAATAAAATTGTTCAGCTTCAGAGGTCTTAAAGTGTTTTCCCAAATTAGCTTTAATACTTAGACAGAGGCATTCTTTTTTTTTGAAAAGATTCCAGTTCTCGTTTTTTATCAAAAAGGATATGTCAGTGTTGTCATAGCAACAGATCCCGCATTGCTTCAGTAAATAATTGTGCTATGCAGGCGTGGTATACATAGTGTTGACGTCAGCACAAAGTCCAAATAATGTAAGGTATGATGGAGTTGGGCGTATATGTTGTGCGTATTCGTTGTATACCCAGATTGCATGTGTACAGTAAGAACTAATAAATAATGCATGATTATGGATAAATATTTATATCGCCATGGTCTGGTCTTTTATATCATTTAGGCGTTCTAAGGATCGTCTTCTGAACCGTGAAGTCATGTGATCTCAGCCCGATTTTTTTTAATAAAAAATATATACGCTACTCTAACATCGATCGCCAGCGGAAGCTTTGCAAATTATGGTTTTGCAAGCTTGTAGAGATTAAAAAATCCCGATACCAGGTTTTGGGCTGGTGGTAGGCTCCAGGAGCAATAACCGATATCTTTGCCAGCAGACAGTAAGTTTGAGCTTACTGTTATTTTTTTCTTGTACAGTTCGTGCCACTTTGAACACAGTTATATTTTTATCTAAAGATCCTTACTCGTCTTAATGAAGCATTATGATGGTACTTGGACATTTCAAATTGACTGTTTAATTTCATTGTGCGTCTTCTATAGCCTTAATTAAGCTATGAGCAGACTTGATTATTATATAATATTGATGACATCTTGTAACGATGGCAGGCGATAAAATCTCTTTCTTCATTTATGAAAAGAAGTGGCTATATATAGGGTCTATATATCCTTATTGTTTTCTGCGAAAATTGCAGATGGCAACTTTGCTTAGATATAGAGGAAATTCTCTGATTGTCCGTGCTGAGCGAGGCAGACGGGCCGCGCCCGCGACCACCCGAGTCGTCCCTACCTTGTGAAAGCACCGTCCGTTTTACGAGGCAGACAGGCCCATGAAGAGCAACAGCCTAGACAAAAACTTCTGGTTGTTGGGTGACGGTTGCCCTAATTCCAGCCTACTTATCTGGAAGTAGCGTTATAGGGCCATCTGAACAGCCAACAGGGAGGCCCTCATCACAAGCACGGAAACGGAAAGGAAACTGACTTTAACACCGACAACGGTGGGTCCATTTATATCTTTTGCCGGCTAGATTAGGATTATTTATCGTATATCTATTATTAATATCTATTGATTGCTATAGTAATCATTCATTAATTTCTCATAGGTTAGGATTACTTTCTTATACATTCGATTAAAAGACCTTTATATTATTTTTCTAAAGTTTCTAAACGATTAAATAGCTGGAATAGTGACTCGGCCGATTTGAATGTAATTTATAGACTGTAATAGATTCCTTAAATCAGCCATTGAAACTTAACCCACTTCGAAGTAATTCATTCTGAATTAAAGTTGATCATTGTGTAAATAATTGTCAATAATCTTGTAAATAATAAACAATATTTGTAATTATTCAAGAAAAAATTGTTTATATTTAATAACATGTAAATAGCTTGAGAAGGACTCTGAACATAAAATATTGAAGTGTCCACGAAGTTGCAGGTGGAATAACTAATTCCCAACATTTTGTACTTGAACACTGTGGAAGTTGTGACAGGATATAGGCTGTTTTTTATCCTTCTTTTCCAAGGTAGAAATCACTTAACAAGTTGTCAAATTAGAACTTTAGGACTGAAACTTGTTTACACCATGTTCCTGGCGGCCACGGTAATCACGTAATGCTCCGTGGGATTTTGGCAATTTTTTTCTCCGTAGTCAAGTTTTGTTAGGTTGCTAAGTTTTTCTCATGGTCTATTGTACTGCCCGTACAAATTATGTTCGGGTTACGTAATAAGTCACTGTAAAGTCCGCACATTCCTAAAGATGATAGGGCTATTGAAGTTGCCTTCAGTTGATTTCTCGAAAGTAGTTTTTATAATGTTGCATGAAGTTGCCCTGCCTGGTCTGGCTTTTATACTCCTTTCTAAGACCGCGCTCGCCGGATCAAACCGTAGTGGAACGCAACGTTTTCCGTCCCACTACGGACCGTCTCCAAGTTTTGTTACGGCACATCACGTTCTGTCACGTTTTGTTGCGTTCACGCCGTTTTATTACGGCCTACTAGGTTTCTCATCCGCACCGTGGCAAAATTTTTGACAGTTTAAACATCCCGCCCTTCCACGTTGTCTCACGTCCATACCGTTTTGTCCACTTTGGCCAGAAACGTGATTGCCGTGGCCGCCGGCAAAATAGTGTAAACTTAGTTTAAAACATGCCCCAAGAAATGAAACAACTGTGATAAATGTTGAAGCAAAATAATTAATTCATAATAATAAGATTATGTACCGGTACGTGGGTGTTGACACCTTCCTAAATAGGTTGCGTTACGAATCACTGCACATGAAAGGTAAGCTTAGGTCCTATCAGTCTTGTAATGAAGATCGACTATCTTCGTCATACAGTTTTTAAATGCACCCTTAAAGTGCATCTTTGTGTCCCAATTAACCTTGCTTTGAAACCAAATTTGAAAAGTGGGCTTCTGGCTTGTTTCATTTTGTCAAACTTAGCCATAATCTCCAGAACTGTATTTGTCTCAAGTATGGCCAACATTTTCTCCTGTTCCCTGACCATCTCAACTCTGTTATGTTCAGCACAGCTTTTGCCAACAGCAGCTTTAGAATCACACATTACCACAGTCTAAGCCCTTCATGACCTTTATGTAGAAGAATTTTTTTTAAAGAGCATCCCCACCTTAAGGGTCCATGTGTCAATTCGTCAGAACTTGTTGACAAAAGCTGTGCTGACAAAAGCTTCTACCGTCTACATATAAAAGCAAGTTGATGTCTGTACTTGTAGCATTTCCCAAGCAAACTGAGACTGCGTATGGTCTGCAACCTGACAGCATCACAACTGATGGTTGTCCACTGCCATCCAAGAGGGTGTCTGTCATCGACGGCATAGCTGTTGTACAGGCAATGAGAAAACCAGCATGGCTTACGACTTGTGCTGAACGGGCCGACCACTTCCTCATCACACTGGACGCCAAGACAAAAGTTTTCTAGATCTATAGTAAAGATTGCGGTAACACCATGTATTTATCTCTTCTTTGAGTATGTGTGAGAAGAACAGGGGAATACCTCGACGTTTCGAACAGTGTACTCTGTCCGTCTTCAGGAGACTGCAGGATTCTAACTGGGAGTGGAGCTTATATGGTGTAGAGAGGGATCCAGATGTAGGGATTAGCTA